GAGGAGGCAGGCTTGCAGTCGCTGCCTTGCTCCGTGCCTGTGTCGCGTCTGGATCCCTCGGACCCAGGATTGTATTGCATAGCAAGCTCAGGGAAGCCGGAGGCTCAGGGTCCTGGAAAACAATGATCTGCTTCTAACTGACAGCAGTGGGTTGGGGGGCAGGGGGGCTCTCCAGTGCTCCACCGTCCAAGTGGAGTTTTCAGGTGACCAAGCTGTGCTATGAGCCCTGCTGAGAAGTCAAGCCTCCACATGCAAAGGCAGCCTACCTTGAGGTGTCAGTTGGAAGGAGGGTTATATAGCCTTGCTGGTAGTTCGCTCTGCTTGTTAGGGTGCTGGGCTGTTCTCCACAGAAAGGGGACAACCCCCCCCCCCACGTCGTGACACCAGTTCAGGCTGAGATCCAGCCAAGTGCTTGTGAGGAGCTAGTGGCAACAGTGGGCGAGGGGCCCTGCATGGCCCTTCCCCAGCCTGCCCCTGGCCTAAAGAGAGCCTCTGTGGGCTCTTTGGAAACCAAGCGGTTTGCAGCCTGCACTTTCCAGATGCCTGTTGATCTCTGCGCATCTGGTGAGCATCCGGGGCTTATGGAGGAGAGGACCCCGGGCGAAGGCCCTGATACAGGGGCGCGTGGCTTGGCCCCCCAGTATGCTGCAGTTGGCCCATCGTCCTCTGCTTTGCCCATGATGGGAACACTTTGGAAGTACAGAGATTTCGTTCATCAGCGCACAGAGAACGAGATGCGCATATCGAGTTCCCTCACACCAAGTCAGGTGCCAGGCCCTTTCAGCCCAGGATCTTCTGGCCACGTCACCGTCCGAGGCCTTTGGTGTGGTTTCCTTCTAAGTGGAGATGGCGGTCGCATCTCTCCAAAATATTGGTCCCAAGCAGAGGACTGCGGTGCCGGCTGGGAGTTTGGGAAGGACAGGCCGGGGGAGCTGGATGGGGGCACCTTCTCTGCCGCAATGGCAAGCAGGGGCCGTCCCTGCCGGCCAACAGGTTCGCTTTGCTGGGGAGGGGTGCCGTGGAGGCAGTCACATTGTGTCCTGCCTGGACTAGGGGTCTTCCGATCTCAGCTGTGGCTGTGCAGGGAGGCAGAGGATCCGCTGGGTGCTTTTCACAGAGAAGCAGAAAGCAAACGTACAAAGGGTTTAAGACGAGGGCTAGGAGCGCAGCATCTCTCAAAATTAAATACACGTTTAAATATTTCTTAAAGGGCTGAAAACACATTAAAATTGTAAAGCAAGTGCTATGAGACTTCGATGGCTGGTGCGGGAGGGAGGGAGGGAGCAGTCAGGTTTGAAAAGAGACATGGACGGGTGCTGAGGGCTGTTTCATTTTGGGTTCAGACAGACGCCCATTCGGAGGAAGGAGCAAGACGTCCTCCCAGGCAAAGGGAGCTACTCATTCCGGTTGGGTGGGTTTTCCAGAAACCTCCTCCTGCTTGTGTCTCCCCTTTGGGAACTGGTTATTGACCAATTTATTTTCCCACCCCAATTTGGCATTTCCTTGAAAGTTTCCAAACCTGCCTCTTGTAGGGGTAGGGGAAACGAGGTTGTGCCGGGCTCTTTCCACCCCACCAAGAGGGGAAGGAGGGCGGCTTGGTTGCGGGAGGTCCAGCTGGCAGGTTCAGTCCATGAGGCCAAGTGGGTTGTTCTGGGCCAGCTGGGCGAACGGTGGGGAGAAAAGGACGGCTGAGCAGAACAATCTGGGTGGGAACGTGCATCCCCGTGATCATGCGAACAAGGCCAAGCTACTCTCCGGTGAGGCCTCCAACTGGATATGCAAGATTGCAGTCCAGGTTCAGCTCCAGGTCAAGTAGACATCCTGCCCCTGTGGGGTCGGCTCCCCCATTGGGTTGTTCTCCAGCCCTCTTCCTTCCCTTGCTGGTCAGAATTCCTCTGGAGTGAAAGGCACTGAGGCTGCACAGCTGGAGCAAGTCCCCCACTGGCAGCAGCTCCAGTGAAGGATACAGATTTATTAGTTGTTCAGATAAACACACCAAACCAGGATAGAGTCAACACGGCTTTTGTCGAAAGAGAGGTCATGCCTTGCCAAACTGAAGGAATTCTGTGGTAGGTCAACAAAAGCACACAAATAAAGGTTATTCAGAGGTAATAAGCTGTCTGTATCCATCTGCACATTTGAGAGGATCAGGAAGCCGTTGAGTTGCGAGAGAAGCTGGCTAACCTTGTCCAACTCTGTCATCAGAAAGCATGTGTTAAAGGACCATTTGTATTTAGTCAAGCATTTATTACACTTGGCTTGGATCTACATCCTCTCAGGACCTCTTTTCCCAATTATTGAGCCGCAGAACTAGGAATTGTGACATCCTGATGCATCTACAGCCAGAAGCCTAGTCTGTCTACAGATCAGGCCATCGAGGAAGGACTTCACTGTGTGTGCGCCTGGCACCCGCTCCTTGACTTCAGGGGTCTATCCTAGGGCGCAGCGGATTGTCAGGACTTCTGACTTCTTCCTCACTCTGATCTTCCCTTGCTGAGTGGCAGCGCACAGAAATGGATCCATTTAGTGACCCGGGTGCCAATGTGGCTAAGGGGATCCCTCAGTAGAGGTGGAGACAATGCAGATTCATTGTCCTTCTGAGAACTTCTTGCATTCTGCTGTACTGTGGAAGGTCTTTTATCAACTCTTGTAAAGGCATTTGTGGGCAGCAAAGCAATTGCTAACGGGCAGAATATCAGGGTACCCCATCAGCAGAATCTCTGATGGGCATCTTGGATGTGAGGCTTTCTGCATATTTGGTTCTTACTGGGGTATTGGGGCCCACCTTCTCCTGTGCTGAATTTTTCTTTGGCCCAAGAATTAGCCCATTTTACTTGCTTGCTGCACATCTTTAAGCATGCATGTTTGTTGTTCCCTCGTCATTGTGTGTCACTGTGGTTTGTGAAATGGAAGAAATCGTGAGCCGAGCCAGAGGAAGGGATTTGTACAACTTTAAACTTCCTTTCATAGATGCCACTGAAACCACATACCCATGCGATAATTCTACTTCCACAGCAACTAAACTACTGTAGACTTACCTTTGCATCCAGGAAGAAAAATAATCACTGGATGTGCAAAATGAGGCAGGAGTTTCAGAACAGCTTCTGAATGTGCATTGCCCTGAAAGCAGTGAAAACCACCTGCTTGCAAGGAGCGTAAAATGTGTGTGCTCCTCTCCTAAAATAAAGCATCGCTCAGAGACCCCACCTGCAGTTTTTGAAGAGTGGAGGAATCAACAAAAGTGAAGGCAGAGGCTTTATCCCATCCCTAGATTTTTCCCTTCCCAAATTAAATGGTGGTTTGCAGTTTACTGAAGGGCAGGTTGGGGGCGGAGGGATCTTCCCAATCCTAGACTTGGATTGAACTGAAACTTGGCCTTTGGCTGGCTGGTTGGGGACATCCTCCCCAAAACCAGGTGAGATCAGAACAGGAAAAATTAGGAAGCAGAATTTAAAACATGATTTTCTGTAGCTGCTTGAGCCTGGTTAATATGATTACTCCCTATCAATTTCATGATTTCCTCCTTTCGTCACATGAGAAATTGTATAGTTTGGAGAAGCTCCTGTGGTTACGTGTATATCTTTGGATGTGGGAACACAAGGCCTTCTGCTGTTGCTGAGCTAGTAAGTCCCACATCCTCACCCTTGCCCCACAGAGACAAATAAATATCCTCTTATCTTTCAAACCCAGAGTCCCACGTTCACTATGCGCAGTTGGGGACCGAAACACAAGGCCTTCTGCTGTTGCTGAGCTAGTAAGTCCCACATCCTCACCCTTGCCCCACAGAGACAAATAAATATCCTCTTATCTTTCAAACCCAGAGTCCCACGTTCACTATGCGCAGTTGGGGACCGACGTGACGATACCATGTGGCTCGGTGGACCAGGAGACAGCTGTCACCTGGACAGCCAACAGCACTGACCTCGACGCTTCCCATCTCAATGGCTCCCACCTCGTCCTTCGGAACGTGGACCTCTCCCACAATGGACAGTACTCTTGCTACGAGGGGTCTTCATGGCACCTCAAAGACCGGGTCAACCTCAAAGTTGGAAGTGAGTACCATGGCGTTAATTCACACGGGGGTTCTGTTCCAACCTGGCTGTGGGTTTGTGAAGCCTGTATCTACTGTTTGTGTGCATCCTTTATTTGTTTACTATTATCATCTACTTCATTCTCTACAAGAGCTACAATGCTGTTGTTTTTTAAAGCAGCTAACAAACTAAATGCATAAACGTACTCAAAATCGGTATCAGTTGACTGAACTGAGATTGTTGGATTGGTTTGGGGGTCTGCCAGGTAGATGGATGGTCCCCTGGGATGGGGGCCTGGAGGATTTTCTAGGTGCTAGGGTGGGCTGCTGGAAGGGACTGAGACCAAGAATGTGAATCCTGGTCTGCTTGCCTGGGCCAGCATAGTGGTACCCGGATGGTGCCCTCCTGATGAGCAGCAGAGTGTGGGGCATGAGCAAACCCAGGTGTTTCAGAGCCCAGGGTGGTTGGGTGTCAGTCAGAGTGGACCCCTGTGATGCCAGTGCCTCGGGAGTAATTGTGAGACTATATCCTGCTGCTGCTTTTGGGAAGGATAGATTGACCTGGCCTGCCTGGCACTGGGTGACCCCTGTGTGAGAGACTGGCAGAATAAGGATAGCATGGCCCACCGGCTGAGGGAGGCCAGAGAGAATTATAGGAGGCACTCTGTCCACCATGGTGACTCTGAGGCTTTGGGGGAGTGAGCGAAGAACAGGATGAGGTTGAACGTTAGATGCTGGGTCCTCCCTCGTGGGGTTGGCATGAGTGATTTTTACTAGATTGCTGAACCTCCTAGGGATGGGTGCCATGATGAGGTATTTAAGAGGACAGGGGAAGAGAACTGCCTCCTGCGTTACGTGGAATTGGAATTTGGAATGGGGGTGGGAGGGAATACAGTCTCGGTGCTTTGGAGCCAGGAGAAATACAGCAGAAGGATGCTGAGTAGGCCGTTCAAGGGAGGTTTCAATCTGACAGCAACCTCCTCTTTTGACTCCATTGCCCTATTTTGGGAATCTAAGGGTTGGATTGTTGGGCACCTGGCTTCAAGTTGTTGCTGTTAATGCCACACCTGTCTGTAACAAAACTACATCAATCCAAGATCTGTTAGTGGAGAAGCAGGCAGATCTGATGTGTATTATTGAACCCTGGCTGAGGGAGGGAGGGAGGGTAGGGATGTTATCCTCTCAGAAATCTACCCAGTCAGATTTTGAGCCTTGCACCAACATCAACACCAGGGTCAAGGAGGAGGAATGATCTATTGTGAGACCTTGTCTGTGTCAGGATCGCTGTTCCTCAGGTGGCAGGGTATGAGTGCCTATATGTTACGTTAGGCTGTAGGGACAAGCTAGGAATCCTTTCGGTGCACTGCCCACCCTGCTTTTCACCAGGGTCCTTCCTGGGCTCCTTAATTTGTCCCCCAACTTAGTGGTGGAAAGACCTCACCTTTATTGGGGGTCTTCAACTTCCTTGCAAGAGGGACCAAGTCCAGTAGAGCCAAGGAGTTCAAGGCCTCCATGATAACCATGGGCTTGTCCCAGATAATCTCAGCTGCAGCAGATATAGGTGGTTTACCTCTGAGCACTTCTTCCTTCTGCAGGGCCAGACTCATTCAGATTGTCCACTCCAGGTGCCTCAGGGATCCAGCTGGCTTCCAGTGGGCACTTGGTGGGTGAGTTGCTCAAGGGCCTGGTCTGCCACTGGCAATAGGTGTTGTCTTGGGCCCTTGACAAAATCACTGCATCAGGTCTGGGTTGGCAAATTCCAGATGGCTCCCTGGTCTCCTCAGGACCTCCAGGGGATGAAATGGCAGAAGGAACACCTGGAGTGTAGGTACAGAAGGATGAAGGCTCAGTTTGACTACACACAAGTGCGGGCCCACATTCAGGCCTATTCCATGGCAATGAGAGACGCAAAACTTTCTTACTTATTGCATTGGCAGGTTGCCATTCAGTGGCCATTTTTCGGGTGGCTAATTCCTTTTGGGTTAATAGCCACTCTGTAGAGCATGCTGGCCGGGGAACTCTGGGAGTTGAAGTCCACACACCTTGAAGTTGCCACGTTTGAAAAACACTGCTGTAGAGTTACCATCTGATGGCTGTGATCGGTTAGCATAACATTGTCAGCCGTGTAGGCTAGATTGAACTAAGATACGATGCCACATAGGTCTAAAACTACTTTTATTAGAAGAGCTATAGTAACAGAAATGTGCAAGTCTGTATGTGCCTCCGTCCTTCTTCGCTTTATCTTCATGTGATTTAGGGAGAGGTCTGTCCAAGGCATTTTCTCAAATTAGTTTCTTGGAAGGTACTTAAGCCACACTTGCTGATTGTTGCCTTGGTAGTGGCTCTTCCTCCTGCCCTTCAAGGCCATTCTCTCTGTCCTCTACAACATTTTGCCAGTAAAGTTGCTCCAATTTGCTTGAGTTTGAACTCCACATAGGCTGAGTTTGGAGGCTGGGGCATTATCTGACTGAGTTATCTGGGATTTTTTTTTTCTTTTTTTCTTTTACCTCCAAGGACATGGACAAGGTGCTCTCTAGGATCCTCAGCCACCTGCTGGCAGGATCCTTGCCCCTTTGGGCTCCTTCAGAAAGTTGGAGAGGGGACAGTTCCCTGGATCCATTTTGTTATGGGATGGAATGATGCTTTTTATGAACTTCATTGAGATGATGGTTTGGGATTAACTAGAAGGCACCATAGAGGAAGCAGATTTTCTGGACCTCGTCAGTCAGGGTTCTGGCCTGGGCAAGGGACAGAGACAGCACTGTCCACTCTAGTGGATGACCTTTGTTGAGACCTGGATGGGGGAAGTTCTTTTGGACCTCTCACTGGCCATTGATAACATTAGCCAAGATATCCTTCTGGATTTAGTCAATAAAATATGAAAACAGTAGCCATCAACATTGTAGACATTCCATTTTTTGTAACGGCTAAGAGCCTTAACGGAGTATATTTGTCCAAAGGGACCTTTCCAAAGTGTTTTCCAAAGCAAAACACAAAGCCAGATCTCTGGCTTCAAGGAACATGCAAAAGCTAAGATCTGGAACTGCTGGAGGAGACAACTGAGAGAAGAGCAGGAATATCCACATAGGGAGAAGAAGCAGAGACAGGCAGGACAAGCACAAGGAAGCCCTGATGTGTAAGAAGAGTCAGAACAACGGCCCATCTAGGATAGCTTCCCTCTATCCCAGCAACTCTTTCACCGAAGGATCTAAAGGCAATTGCTTTCTCTGTCTGTTTTTTGTGTACTTGTTTTAATATCTGTTTATTGGCAATTATTTTCCTGCAGCCTACTTAGTCCGTGTGCTCTTCTAGGTTAAAATGAGATTGGGTAGTTTGTGGTTTGTGTCTCTCTCGACATCCATCCATTGCCTTGACTGACTGTGTGAACCAGGTCATCGCATGAAGCTATTATATGGTTTCTTAGTTTGGGCCGCAATAGCTATCAGTTTGTCCCTGCCCAGTACCGTCCGTAACAAGCCACAATGTTCTAAAAATGACTAGGTGGACCTCATGATGTCATTAGGTGGCTGATGCGATGGTAGAAGGGCGACTGATTCTAATACATAGGTGACATAATTTCTGCGATGGCATCACAACATGCTTCTGCTTCTTCCTCCCTGTGGACATTTGCATTCATGTGCCTGTGACCCAAAATTGGACTTCTTTGCAAAAGCCAGGTTGATTCTTCTCAAGATTTGTCTTTCTAGACTCTTTCCCTTTTGTCTGCTACCAAACACACAGAAGAAGCATTAAGACATCCTGTCATTTCCTCTGTTTAAAAACTGGAATGACCCTGTTGGTTCTCCAGTCCTAACAGGAGAAGCTGGATTTGCCATTTCACACGGATCTATCTGGACCCAGCAATGTCTTTGTTTTGATCTGATCAGTCAGATAAATAATTTCATTTCTTGTCACTACTGTTTGCCTCCCTGCCTCATATTCCCTTTGGAAGCTATCTATTCCAAGATGCCACATTTTCTGCAGTGAGAATAGATGCAAAGAATTAATCTAGCTTCCTTGCCCTTCATTTGCATTCCTTAGCAGTCATTTTGTCCATCTGCTTTCCTAGCTGGCTGGCTGCCTTGAGTGTTTGTAAAGATAGCAAGTTACAGCCCAGCAATTCCAGAGGATCACTAGATGGCAGCATAGAGTTCATTTTCTGTGTCCCTTTGCTGCCATCTAGTGATCCTCTGGATTTTGCAGCCCATATCTGGTAGCTCTACATGTACTTAAATATTGGCTATTCGTTCTTTAAAATTGCTTTTTGCATCTCTTATTGTCTCCTTGAATTTCTTTTGTGCAAGTTCTGTTATTTGAGGGGGGCATGTTTGCATTGTCCATGCTCATTTAACCATGCCAGTGACCTTTGGGCATGACAATAGCTTTCCTGACCTGTGGCGCACATCTTAATTAAGCTTCTGTTATTATATTCTGAGTACCCCCAAGCATTTTTGAGAGTTTTGACACCGTTGACTTTCAACTTCCTTTTTGCTAGACCCGTCATTTGTAGAAGTTCTTTGTTACAAGTCCAATATGATTGTGTTGGAATTTCTTGGCAATTTTACATTCCCATATAGACAGTGTTTGATAATATTATGGTTACTGTTTTCACACAGTTCAACACCTCACACTTGCTAGCACTCTGAACTATGTCCAAGTTACCTTTCTTCTCGTATGTGCTATGACCATATAGAAACGGTACCTTATATTTGTGACTGGAGCATTGATTTATTCATCTTCATGAGAACACTTGAAGTTATCTACTGCTGTAGTTTTTTCCTCTTTGAATGCCTCTCAGTTCTTGTTCTCCATCTTAAGATCACACTGAGCAGTTTTGGACAGGAGGACCATAGTATTCACCCAGTGCTAAACTACTTATGTCTGGTGTTGATATACAGAGAGGAATCCTGTCCCTTTGGAGGAGTCTTGAGTGGCTCTGCTTCCACAGCACCTCCCCTGGAGAGCTTGCATCCAGAGATAGTTCTCTTGTATTGAGTCTCTGCCCACCATTGAGTTCTGCCTGGATATACTCGGTGGCCAATGGAAGACTGTTTCTTCTGTGTGTGTGAGAGAGATGTGGCTGTGAGGAAGAGCAAGTGATGCACTGTTTTGAGACTCAGAGGGAAGGAGAAGACAAGACCTCTTCAGAATTAGGTGCTCTATTTTTTTTAATGATAGAAAGTGTTATGCTGACGGTTTCTTCAAGTGCT